TGTAGCTGTCCAGTTTTGCCAACACCAGTTCTTGAAGAGGCTGTCATTTCCCCATTGTATGGAGGCTCTTATTACTAAGTCAACCTAATTTTTGAGATTTCCAGATAAGTTCTTCATCTACTTGGAATTGCTATAAAGCATGTACTAATGAGGTTACTACAAAAGAGGGGACCACTTCAGCCTCATTCCTTAATCTAAAAGGGGTGGAATAAAATTTTACTCTTTACCCACGTTTTGCCTTACATTTCAGTGAATTTTTCTGCCTCCGCAACTGCAAAGTAGGTGATAGTTACCACTCTCAAAGTTGTCTTTTAGATATATTTCAAAGCTTATGTTACATTTAATGACTTTAGGTAGAGGTGTGTTAACAGTTATATTCTGTACTCCTTTCATGAATTTAGGCTCATATGTGATTGGGATTATATCAGTTGATACTAGTTTTGGCTGTTAAGTGGCAGAAAATCCAAAATCATACTGACTTGAGCAAGGTAGAAATTCATTTATCCCATGTATAAGTTTGAGTAGCTGGACCAGGACTGGGATGCTCCTTGAAAACTAGGCATCTTCTGTCTTGATCCTTTAATATGTGGGTCTCCATTTCCAAGTTACCTCTATATTTCACAACAGATGTTTCACATTCAGTTCATTTCATCTCTGCATTTTAGCCAGCAGAGAGGAGAAAAGAGGAGGAGAAGGGTATGTTCTCAACTTTCAAGGACATTTCCTGGATGTTGTGTCACCTATAATCTACTGGCTGGCGCATGTCCACACTTAGCTGTAAGAGGGACTGGGAATAGAATCTTGATTCTGGGCAGCTGTGTACCCAGCTAAAACTGGGAGCTTTGATACAGGAAGAAGAGAATTAATACTGGTGGACCACCAGTAGTCTACTTAAGGCTTTATTTAAGGTACCTTTCTCCTTATCTTTGTGCAAAGATGATTTTTTCCCCTTCACATTTGATACAGAATATTGCTATCATCTCAGAAGCTGCCAGCTCTGGTATTTCATTGCAAGCAGATCGGAGAGCTAAAAATCAAAGGCGAAGAGTTCATATGACTTTAGAATTACCCTGGAGTGCTGATAGAGCAATTCAGCAATTTGGTAAGTTCCTGCACAGAATTTCACTTAATAGGTAACTAGGAATCTTTGGGAAAATAGGTGCATATCAAAACCTATAAAGAGTGTTAGACATCTTAAACTTTGACATATATGTAAGTTTTGGAGATTTTTTGGGTATTGCATAAACCTTAAAATACAGATTGCATCATAAATTTATTTCTTACTTGTTTTAAAAAATGTAAAAGATCTGTGGTGGACCTTCATAGTGTTTCTGGCATATTCAAGAACAAGGCTCCTTGGAAGTATCTTCACAAAGACCTTTAGATGTCTGAGGTTCATGTCAGAGCAGCTACCTCTTATTTTATCAACCTCATAGTTGCACTGAGGACACCTTGCTCCTCCCTTTCCTTACATGCTCATGTCTCTGTGACCTAATGATTTAGAAAATAATTTTGGGAGAATCCAGAGCAGCTACACATCAGCAGCATTGTGGTTAATCATACTAGGGTAGCAGTAATAATATGTTTATTATTTCACAGTTCTGTGGCACTTCCTGTCCCTTGGGAGGAGAAATATTGTTTTGAATATGGATGTCAGCATTTTTGATATTGTACCTTTTTGGGAGTTAATACAGTTGTCATTATTAATACAGCTGTAATTATTTCCTCAGTTTTTCCTCTTGTTTTAGGGTATTTGGATACCAGCCTAGTGTTAAATGCTAGGAGATCTCAGAATACTCTGTATCTAGTGAACACAATCAGTTCATTTATTTTTTAATATAATTACAGGACGAACTCACAGGTCAAACCAAGTTACTGCTCCAGAATATGTCTTTCTGATCGCTGAATTGGCAGGAGAACAAAGATTTGCATCTATTGTTGCTAAAAGACTTGAGAGTTTGGTAAGTTTTTGAGTTGCACAGATGGATGCAAAAAATGGTGCATGTTGGGAGAATGTATTTGTAAATGACATATCTGACAAGGGGTTAATGTGCAGAATATATAAAGAACTCACATGCCTCAACACTCAAAAAGCAAATAACCCTATTAAAAAATGGGTGGAGGATATGAACAGACACTTCTCCAA